TGCATGGAAGTATACATGATTTAATTAAGCTTCAAAAAAACATTAAATAAATGGATGAATAAAAAAAAGAATTAAAAATGCAAGCATTAGTTATTGAAAATGAATGATGTTGGGGCGTGGCTAACCGCCGAGCAAGATGGACGCCTGAGATTTTGCTCCGGCACGAGGGTTCCCTTTCTAAGAACCTTCACACTGAGCTGAAAATCTGACATCCACCAAACTCCTCATGGCAACCTCTAAAACCAAAAAGGCTACCTCTAAGGCCGAAAAAATGAACTTTTTCGGCCAAAAATCCTCCTCTGCTGCGGACCCGCCACGAGCGGCCGGACAAGAGGGCGCAGACGAAATGGCTCCCAGCCCTTCCCCAGCGCCATCGGAAGATTCTACACCAGTGGAATGCCTAACACGAAGCCACTTTGAACAGGCAATGGAGATTATGGCAGAAAAATTAATCGCCACCTGGCAAACGACCGCCGACCAAATCAAGAGGGAGGTGAGAGATCTCTCAACGAGAACAACTACCATGGAACGGCGCCACCAGGAGATGGAGACTGTACAAGCTGCCACTTCAGAGCAACTACAGGCGATACAACATAAGCTAACAGTCATGGAAGAACGCATGGCGGACCATGAGGACCGTGCCCGAAGAAACAATCTGCGACTCCGCGGAGTCCCAGAGACAGTCCTGCCAGACGACCTGCAAGCCTATGCAAGAGGCCTAATGAGAGCCTACGCTCCTGACATCCCCGCAGACATGCTTCTGGTGGACAGGATACATAGGGTGTCAAAACCCAAAAACCTGCCAGACTCCATACCACGCGACGTATTGCTGAGGGCCCACTACTTCCACATCAAGGAGCTGGTCCTCCGCTCTCACCGGAACAGAGGGGGCCCCCATGATGACTTCCCATCGGTGCGCATTATGGCGGACCTGTCGCCAGCCACACTCCGCCGCAGAAGGGATTACATTCAGACCACCACAGCACTCCGCAACCATGGGATTCGATATCGGTGGGGGTTTCCCACGAAACTAATACTCACCAAAAGCGGGAAGACGTCCATCATATCATCCCCAGAAGAAGGATTACAGCTTATCGAGACATGGGGCCTACTAAAAGAACCACCGGGAGAACCGCGGCATGACAAACGCCGCCCAGGCCGCAATGCAGCCATGAACTGATCCACTAACTTGCAAAATCATTATGCACCTGACGCAAGTATCATTTAATGCTTACCTATGCTTACCTCTTTCTGTCACTCAATGTGCTTCAGTAGGTAGCCGTCAGCTACCTTGCGCTGTATCTGAGCTCTATTCACCCCGTCCACTCCCTATGTCCCAGCACCCGTAGTGTCCCAGACCAAGTGGAAGTGCACGCCACAGGAGGACTCTGAGATAGGAGGGAGGCTAGCGGCAGTAAGCCCGAAGAATACTTACCCGTATACCCCCACGCTCCCATCACTAAGCACCGCCGGCACATATACAAAGCAACCGAGGTATTGTGGGCGCACACCTATAGGGTAAACTCCACCAGTGAGCCTCAATGTCACACACTGCAGGCCACCTCTTCCCCACCAAGGTTCAGGCATGCCAAGTCCATGCCCACGGGCAATGCTCCCCTCCCTCCATATGCCACCTAGCTGGGAGCCCAGCTCTCTATTGCAATATAAATGCAACATAAACTGTGCAGGTATGCTTAACAAGGGTATAAAGTAATCTCCGATGTTATAACGTGCTCTATGAAGTTAAAAAAAAACAAAAAAAAAAAACGCCTAGAGCCACCCTGACACACTAGACTAACTCCTAATTGGTCCAGAGAACCTCCACGGCATGCCAACCACCTCCTCCTCCCTTCCTCCCTGCGGGCTGAGAACGCCCAACACTATATTCACCTGGGATAGCGACGATATACAACATTAAAATAGCTCCACCTGGGAGAATGTAAGCTCTGCCCCCGAGCAGACAACCCGATTATGGGGACGCTCACATAATTCGGAGGGAGTCACTCATTCATTAATACACAGAGTCTCAGAGTACTTAAATCCCACAGCGCCAGGTCAAGCAATGATCCTTGTATGTCTTCTGCAACCAAAGTTATTGTTAAATGTTAATGTTTTGCTATGCTGTTTGCAAGCCTCACTTATGTGTTTTCAGCTCAACTTTACTAAGAATCACCTAGGAGCCCGCTTAGCCACGTATCCGGAAGCTCTAGCTCCTATCCCCCAGGTACACATAGAGTACCAGACCAATAGGTCCTGTACATAACCCCTCCTACTCATTACTTCCCCACACTCCCGCAACCCACCCACCCTCACCAACACTTATCAACGCAGAGAATCACACACCAACCAACCCGGATTGCTCACATTCCAGACAAATTCCTCAAGCCTCATAACACACAATAACGACCATGCTAATCTACTCGCATAACACCAAAGGCCTGAACACGCCACATAAACGACGCATGCTCCTCAATGACATCAAACAAACCAAGGCGGACATTGTCTGCATACAAGAAACGCACTTTGTCTCCACTAAAGTCCCAACCTTCGCCCTCAGGGAATACCCCACGCAACACCACGCCACCCACACCTCCAAATCCAGAGGTGTATCCATCCTGCTACATAACTCTCTAACTGTAGAAACTCTCAGGGTCAAAAAAGACAACCAGGGACGGTACATAATTCTACACTGTAGAATAAATGAGCACCCATATGTCATAGTATGCCTCTATAGCCCAAACGAACAACAACGTAACTTCTTACACAAAATTCTCGCCAAGCTACCTGAGGGTGTGAATGACCCCAAGATCATATGTGGCGACTATAACCACGTTATGGACACACATATGGACTCAACCATTCCAAACACGTCGACAAGGCACCACACTCTCAGGCCCCAAACCAAGACTTTCACCAAGCTCATGCATGAAAATAGCTTATACGATGTTTGGAGAACAAAACACCCCTCAGAAAAAGAATACACGTTCTTCTCACAAGTACATAAAACCTTCTCCAGAATAGACCACATCCTTGCCTCAGGCACGTTACTCCCACACATAGAAAACTGCTCCATCGGCAATATAGTATGGTCTGACCATGCCCTGATAACAATGACCTTACATTCCGCCTATCAACACCGAGGTAAGCCGCCATGGCGCCTCAACGAGTCATTGCTATATGACCAAACATTCACAGCGCTACTGGCAACAAACTTAAAAGAATTTTTCAAGACAAATGACACCCCAGATGTCTCCATATTCTCAATATGGCAAGCCCATAAAACGGTGATGAGAGGCTTACTAATCAGCCGCGCATCCCACCTGAAACGTAAGCGAGAAAAACACCACACAGACCTCCTGCGTAAACTGAGAGATACCACTGCGGCTCACCTTCTAACCCCCTCCACAGCCCACGCTGAGGAAATCCAAGAAATCACCAAGCAACTTAACGCACTATCTTTGGAAAAAACGTCCCACATCCTTGCCAAACTGAAAATGAGAACATACACCCAAGGCAACAGAGCTGGGAAACATCTGGCCACTATGCTTAAAAAGCAGCAATGCAACTCTAAAATCCCACACTTGTTTACCGCCAAGGGCGACAAAATATACAACCCGCAAGACATCAACGACAACATGGCTGACTATTACCACTCTCTATATAACCTTTGCACAGATCCCACTCTACACCAACCAAACACAATAGAAATCGAAGAATTTCTTGCGAAGACTCAGCTTCCCACTCTTAATGAAACACAAAAGAATGCCATACAACTTCAGGTCACCACACAAGAAATACTGGATACCATTAGCTCCTTACCCCCCGGGAAATCACCAGGCCCTGATGGCATGACCAATGCCTACTATAAGCAATTCGCGCCACTCCTGGCCCCCTACTTACAAAGGGTATACCACCACGCCACACTGACAGGCCAACTGCCAAAAGAGATGCTGATGGCCCACGTCGCCACCCTCCCTAAGCCGGGGAAACCCCCCAACAGATGCCAAAACCTCCGTCCTATCTCCCTGTTAAACACAGACGTAAAAATCATAGCGAAAATCTTCTCCAACAGGTTAGCACATATCATACCCTCTCTGATACAGGAAGATCAGGTGGGATTCGTGGGTGGTAGACAAGGTACTGACGGCACGAGGAAAACACTAGACCTACTCTACGAGATCCAACGGAATAAAACCCCTAGCGTCCTATTATCATTAGACGCTGAAAAAGCCTTTGACAGGCTACACTGGCCCTTCCTAATGGCAGTACTCCGAAAATTCGATTTTCCCCCTCAATTTTTAGCGCTTGTCACGGCACTTTACTCCTCACCGACGGCCAAGGTAGTGAACGGGGGATTCATATAGAAACCATTCCACATCTCCAATGGCTCCAGACAGGGCTGCCCCCTCTCCCCCCTCCTCTACATCCTGACACTAGAACCCCTTACCCAACTGATCAGAGACAACCCCAATATACACGGGATCAAAATCAAAAACCGAGAATTTAAACTATCTTTATTTGCGGATGATATCCTTCTCACCTTAGCACAACCGCACATATCCCTGCCCAATTTCCACAAAATCCTCTCCCAATTCAGCGCCTGCTCTTACTACAAATTGAACATCTCAAAAACACTCGCCCTAGGCGTCAACATCCCAATTCAAGAACTATTGCTCCTCAAAACTAATTTCAACTATGATTGGAGACGAGATCATATCAAATTCTTAGGCATCCTCTTCACACCGTCCACGAACTCCCTATATAAAGCCAACTATATCAAACTCCTCACAGAAATTCGAACTCTGTTGCACAGCTGGAAGGGCAAGTACATATCCTGGACGGGCCGAATAGCTTCCGTAAAAATGGTAATCCTACCGAAAATCCAGTATATGTTCCGCACGCTCCCACTTAAGCTTCCCAACAAGTACTTAAAGGACCTGCAAAATTCAATAAATGATTATGTATGGGACTACAAAAAACCAAGAGTAGCCCTAAACACGATGGTCGCCACACGAGCCCAAGGAGGGATGGGTCTACCAGATGTGAAAGGATACTATAGAGCTGCGCAAATTGCTCCACTTATTGCAGCTTCCCACCGCTCGACTCCCATGACATGGGTCGAATTGGAGAAACATAGAACCGAAGGCATCTCACTCCCCGCCGTGGCATGGATGCCGCCGAAACACAGACCCAAAGCGCCAGAAATGCTGCCGACAACCACACTTACTCTCTCTGTGTGGGACGACTACCGCAAAAATAAGGGGAATATGTCACCCATCTCACCGGCAACCCCAATAGAATCGATCCAGCACCTTATCCCAAATTTCAAGCACAAACTTTGGCACAGACATGGCATCCTCACGCTGTCGCAGGTGTTGCAGGGTACCAAACTCAAGCAATTCAAGGATATATGTGAAGAATTCCGAATACCAACGACAGCGACCTTCTCCTATAACCAGCTACAATCATGGATAAACCTACATAACTCGCAACAAACAGTGCGCCCACCTGATCCACACTGGCTTAAACTGACAGAGATATGCACCAAGACGAAACCGGCAACAAAAATTATCTCAACAATTTACACATCTGAAAAGACAGACACCCACGGCAAAATACCCTCCTATAGGATAGCATGGGAAAAAGACATAGGGCATGAACTCACGGATGAACAATGGCAATATATATTCCGCGCCAATAACAAGCTATCCCTCTGCACATCACACACAGAACTCTCCCGCAAATTGATGTACCGGTGGTATCTTGTACCAACGAGACTTAAACACAGCTACCCGAATGTGTCAGACACGTGCTGGCGCTGCCAGCAAGACCGAGGTACCCTGCTGCACATATGGTGGCAATGCCCACTACTGAAACAGTTTTGGTCACAAGTCCTAAATCTAACGACCCGCTGCACCCAACTGCAAATTACTTTGATACCTGAACTATTTCTACTATTACTACTCCCCCAAACACCTCACATTCACACCAGGTACTTGCTATACCACATCTGCATAGCAGCTCTCACCGTCATAAGCAGGAAATGGAAACAACCCACTGCCCCCACAATCAGCCAGTGCATTACAGCTATAGAAACTTCCAAATCTTACGAAATGGCAGCAAGAAAATCAGCACAAAACAAATCTTACTGGACTGAGGCTTGGGACATATGGGACAGAAACAAACCACGATGAAATGCATAGCAAAGCACTACCAGAATCGAGAGACACAACTCCCTCCTCTGGAGGTACTGAAGAAGCCACTCCAACCCATGTCCACGCACCCATTCCTTAACCACAACATGATCCATGCACACCACACATCAACTCCAAACACTCACTCTTCACCCTACCCCCCGCATTCCCCCTCCCCCCCCTCCCTTAGCCAAAGACTACCAACCATGCCAACAATACAGATCGACACCCCCAAACCACATTGAACACGATACAAGCGAAAGAGACCCATGACCGCACGTTAAGGCTCAGAGGCTATGTTACTATACATGTTCATATTTGTATTTTGTACATTGTACTGTCTAACACCCTCACGGTGTCCGTGATGATCACATACTGTAACTGTGATAACATGTGTTATGCCTTTGGTACCCCACCTAATCCCCTTCACTTCTGTACCCTTCCCATGACCCCTTATTGCAAAATAAAAATTGTCAAATTCAAAAAAAAGAAAATGAATGATGTTTAAAAACAATATAACAAAACTGAAACAACAATGGCTATTCATGACACACACACAATATGCTTATCTTGGGAAGGATTGTGATATAGTTTAGAATTTTAGAAAATATAAAACATTCTGAATGCACACTAAGCATTGTCATTTTATGCTCCTGGTTGGTTTCTGTTAAATATGACCGTTTGAGCAAAAGTGGAAGCACAAAACAGCGATTTCTTTTTGTTACAAAACCACTGAAACGGTTAGGTCCTGTGGCTCACCAAAATGATGTGTGTGGTTTATTTTAAGGGGCTACGCTTAAAAAAGAAACGTACTTTAAACCAAAACCACATCTCAGACCTAAAGCAATGACAAAACGTCGCTGTACCCTGCATCTTGAGCCCATGTGTACCTGTAGTGATTGTATTGCGTATGACGTTCACAATTATTGTCTTATTGTTACGCGTACTATAGGTTTATGTGCATATTCACAAACACTGCAAAGAGAATGAGCGGACCACACGCAAAACAAACTACAAAGTGAACAAAAGATACATAAAAACAAATAACAACTACAGTCACTTGTTACAGCTATAAAACAAAACATGTCTAGCCACCCCAAGTGAAATAAATAAGAGAAGGACTTTTACTTATGTTAAACCTTTTTAATTCCTGTTTTTCTGATTTTGTTCTTTTGAATAACATTTGAAGGATAAAACATAAAAAAAATTATATATATATATATATATATATATATATATATATATATATATATATAAAAAACACGACCACACAGGCCGGGGCTGGAAGAGGATCGTGTCCCACCTGCACCGCTCCGGTACCCTCTGTCTCCCTGCTTCTGATGTTACTCTGCCACATATGGGCATTGGCTGACTGTAATGGACTTGAGGACTCAAAGTCCATATGCTATAAGAGAGTCATTGCTAAAAGAATGATATGTGTTTGTTAGCCCTTTGTTTTATGTTTGAGTGACACTCCTTAGATAAACGCAGAGTCTTAAAAACGACCCCTCCAAATACCGGTTGGATCCATCATAGGCTATATAACCATGAACGTACTAACTCATGATAACCTAGCACGTTGTGTAAATATTATTTCACCTGTGGTTTAATTACTTCCTGTTGCAACCTAGCATGTAGTAAATTGCTATTATTCAGTCAATCTCTCCATGTCTACCTAGTCCTGCTCATCTGAAAGTGTAACGTAGATACTACACTCAGACATGTATGTCTAGCTGAAACATGCTTCTGTTTCCTAAAAAAAAAAAAATATATACTATTCTCGTACATTATGCTATGAATATCTCTCTACATGTAATGTTCTTTTTACTATACCTCACTAAAACAAAGATTGATAAAAAAAAATAAAAAAATACATAAACCCTTAGTGCCGCTTTTTGAGAAAAATAAGATTATTAAAATGTGGACTGCTACAAATGGTTATTCCTAAAGCAACAGAATTGCAAACAAGGAAAAGCAAACAAAATGTGGCAATAGAAGGGTTAAGTGAACCACTTTAAAATTAAAGGAGTACCATGATCCACGAAACATGTGGATTTCAAATCCAGTTACACGTGATATACACACAATCTAAATTGTGCAAATAATATCAAATGTATAGATTAAATGTTATCCTTACCCAAGTGGACAGCCACAATGGAGAAACTTGCAATGTTTATGAAGAATTACAAAAAAAAAAAATTTAAAAATGAGTAACAGAAAATTTCTAAACAAAACACAGTCATTATAAAGAGAAGATGCTCTTTGTTTGTGATGATTTTTTTTTTTTATTATTATTATTTTTAACTAGAGTCTTCTGCTTTTACTGAATAAGATTTTGGAAGAATTTACATAAGCATGGCACCAGCTCGACCCAACATAAATACACATATAAAGGAACACTTTAAGGCTGTTAATGCATTTGTAATAACAGTACTTCTAACACCTGCTGTCGGTCTACCTTTAGGAACACCCTGACGTATAATTGTGCAAAATATGTTCCAATATTTAACTTGGATAGCTAAAAATAACCAATTTGTGAAAAAATAAAAAAGGTATAGAGATTGAGTTATTGGATGCATATCTACAGACACCGCATAGCTTAACTTAGAGTAGGGGTTAAATTACCTAGCTTTTATGAGCCAAGCAGACATATTATAAAGTTATCCAGTCAGGGCAAAAAAGTTATATCCACAGAGTTTAAGGTAAAAAAACAAACAAAACAAAAAAACCTCCTAAGAAGTTACAAGTCAGCACGAAACATATTATGGTGGAACTTGCTCCAGGGTTTTTCAAAGCTTGCGTCAGTAACCCTCCACCCATGGTACACTGTTCTACCCCCATGAGAATGTTCACAGGGTTAGTTATCCCTCTATGAATACATTGTCTTTGTGAGGAAGAAAAAAATAAATAAAAGTATGTCATGGAAAAAAATATGTAAGTTTTTAGCAATGAAGAAAAACCACCATTAGGAGTGGCTGTGGATAATTTGTATCCCTGACACAAAACAAACCATTTTTACATTTATAGTTCAAACTAGATACACCAGAAATATTATACACTGCCAGCGATATTCCGCACAACGCTGACTTTGTTTCCCTCACATTTAAATGAATATTATTAATCCCAAGCGTGTACGGCTGACAAGGTCAATGGAAATATGCCATTCTGGGCCAAACAAAATGTCATTAATATGCAGTAATCTCAGCATCAATGACTGACATGTAGAGAAAGTAATATCAGTTTGAGATAAGCGCTCCGTATACAGGACTGACATCAGACAGCCAACAGCGATACCACTGCTCTACCTTCACTGTATTGACATGCCACAGCATGTCCCAAGGTAAAGGTAGAATTATGTCAATTCGTTTTTTTGTTCCATTTTGTTTTATATGATCCATAGGGTTAGGACTGCAATGCTCATACAGATGGCAGCTGGTTTTGAGGGAAAGATTGACTGAGCCAGTAATTCTGTTCATTCGATACTCAATCATATCCGGGTTCCATTCACAGGCCAAACAAGGTAAAAGAGTACATGAATTACATTATAGACTGTGGTACAAATAACCATAGAAGATAGACACATGAAGATAGAAGCAGTTTAGGTAAGGAGAGCTATCCTTCAACCCATACAAAAAAAAAACAAAAAAAAAAAACTGGAGAACCCCATAGTGATCATTCCATTTGATTGTTGACGCTCAATGGCAGTAATTGGACAACAGTCACCACTTTGTTAAGTGATACAATTCTTTGGTGATATGATAAAGAAACATTATAGATACCATAATAACTTCATCTGAATTAAATTTACATGGTATGAGCAGGTCCCCTGGTGCCGGCCTAGCTCAAGGTGTAAAATCGTACAGGAGCATTTGGTTAGACTGCCCAGCACGAACAATGGGGTAAGATGCAGGGATTTAGTGTATATGACTTAAATAAATTTTTTTTTTCTAAATAAGATTTTTCTATTTAAATGCATAATGTCTAGGCATTTAAAAAAAATAAAAAAAAAAATAACCTTTTCAAAAAACTATATGCATTTTCTAACCTAGATTGTCCATTGTTCAAATTAGCAAATACACATGCTTGTCTCTTTGTTCATTGCTCTGTAAAATAGATTTAAAAAAAAAAAAAAAGACACTTCTTCTCGGGGTATGAAGAAGCCATTGGACATTAGGAGAGCACATATCACCAGCTGCTGCTCATTAATCTCAAATTATTATAAAAGAAACAACAATTTAGCAAATGACAATATACATATCTCCATCCGAGGAGCTGCAGCCAATGCTGGAATGTCATTTTTTAGTATTTTTTCCTAAGCAGCTTTATTGCTCATCACCTTGGCCATCTGTTAGAGGAACTACTATAAAGTAGGTATCCCAAAATATGTCCAATTTAAACAGGTAGAGAATTCTGGCTGAAAGTAATGAGGCAGTAAGTAGTCTGCTAAAACACTACTTACTAAGAGGCTCTGTCACCATCTGGGGTTTTTAACCCCCTGGTGGAGAGCAGGTAAAGGTGAAATTTACTTACCTGAAGTTGTCCCTTGCAGTGGCGCCATCCTCTGCATGCGCAAGAGTACAGCATTCAGGTCTATGAAGGATCCCGCGAGACAGCAGGATCTTCCATAGGAAGAGCTTAATTTCCTTACAGCTGTCACTATTGACATTTGGGGGAAATGACAAGGCTTAATGTCATTAGCTACGCCTTGTGTCAAGCTTTGTCAGGCGTAATCCATACTTTGTATCAGTATATCTTTTGACTGGGTTGAAATTTCAGTGATATTCCAAAACAGTCAGAGTATTTTATAAACATTCTATCTTTATAAAAAAACTTATTTCAGAGCCGGGGGTGACAGTGTCGCTTTAATTTTAAAGGGAAACCTGACACACCATAATCAAATTCAATGATAAGCTACATGTTTCTGCAATATTTGACTAACATGGTTATTTACTAAAAGTGTGAATTGTTGGGAATTCAAAGGGAATTCAGCAAATATTCTGCAAAAATGTGTTAAACTGAAAACTTTGGCTACTTGGAGATTTTTGCTTAATTCCTTAATTTGGTCATTTTGGCCTAAGAGTCAAATGCACTTTGAATTCCAACAATTCTTTTAGTGAAAAATCATGTGAAAATCATAGTATAATATGGAGAAAAAAAAAATATGAACGAAAACGGCTTACGTGAGTATATGGAAGTGGGAGGCGTAGCTATCTAGCATTTCCTTAAGTTATATGCCTTGGCTATT